CACAAATAACACTGTATCTGTATTGTATCTTGATATCAATATCAATCACGTCTTCATCTCTTATCCTTCTCACTTCTCTGACCATGTTGCATCTTTTTCCCGGTCATGCCACATTGCATTATACAACATCAGAAAAAACTCAGTATGTCGCCAAACTCTTGGTCCAGGCCGTGGTTATTTATCACCTCAACTACTGGCGGGCCTCCCTTCACATCCAGTGAAACCCCTACCAAAGGTCCAGAATGTAACAAATACAATTGTAACACAAGGTAAATGGACTCAAAGCGCGTTACAATACTTGCCACATTCACCCATTCACTCACACATTCATACATCACACTCATACACTGATGGAACAGCCATCGGGGGCAATGTGGGGTTCAGTATCTTGCCTAAGGATACTTCGACATGTGGCCTGGAGGAGCAGGGGATCGAAAGACTGACCTTCTAATTAGTGGACGACCCGCTCTACCTCTTGAGCCACAGCGGCCCAAGGCAATCACAGTGCACACTGTTCTCGTTTTGTGTTGACCCGATGGTGGAACGAGCTACCAAATGCTATCAGAGCAGGGGTGCCCCTCTCTATCTTCAAGAATCACTTGAAGACTCATCTCTTCTGAGAGCACCTCTCTTACACATCTAACACCCTAACATGCCTAACTAGCACTTACTATGCACGTTCATTGCACTTCTTTATCTGATCTCCTTGCACGTCACCTTATTAAACCAACGTAGCTCTTAGTACTTAAACCAAGGTCTCATACTGCACTGGAACTTGAGTGTTGAGTTGCTTTGGATAAAAATGTCTGCCAAATGATTAAATGCAAATGTAAATGCACATTTTGTTGATCTCCTATATCTATGTTTTTGTCTATTTTTATGTTGTTTTTTTTTTTTTGTTTTCTTTTAATTTTCCATTGTGTAGTAGAATATTCTGAGCTGTACACGAGAGGACGTAAAGTATGTTCTTGGAGCAGGAATCACACCAAAATTTGGATTAGTGTCGACATTATATTCACAGTCACTGCAGGAAACTCTGATATAAAGAGACTCAAATTAGTCATTAGTTATGTTACTTGTCAGTGTTTTTTACACCACAGGTATCATCAGGTCCTTTGGCAGGTGTGATATTATGGTATCACATCAGACTTACTGTTGACTTCCTTCCGTGTTGGTTTTTTTAGACAAACGTGAAGGTGGCATGTCTGTGGTTTTTTTTTTTTTTTGGAATTCAATGGAACAGCTATTTGATCTGCCTATTAGAGAATTTCAGTAACTCTTCTGAGTGATCTATAAAGATAGAAAGGGCATAACAAAGGCTGCGATCCATGTAAGCGAGGTTTACACTCTTGATTGTAACCATCTGTCCTCACCTTGGAGCAGTACTCTCAAAGGAGTTGGTAATATCTGTCCTTTACAAAGTGCTCTGTATTATAGATCTATCATTTTCTTGTTCAGAGGCAATTTACTCTGAACATCTTTAAAATTGCTGTGTAAAGTTTAGCATTGAGCAGCAGAGGAGATTTTTTGAAAACAGTTTGACGTCATCTACATTACTTGAAATAACTGTTATTATTTGTTTCCTCAAAAGTGACATTTATTTATGTGGGGTGCTTCAGAAAATGAATGTCTTTTTGCTCAGTTAGTACTGCCAATGAACATTATGAACTTGGAAATAAAACACATATTTTACAGACCTTGGTTACTGTAAGATTTTATCTTTTAACCACCTCTTTTCATGTACTGTGGATAGGTGGCTGCCTCAGAGTTCCTTTGTCCAATAGCTCATTTAGAAGAAAGCCTGATTAAGTAGCCTGCCTTGAGAAAAAAAAAAGACTGGCAGCCATAAAATTGTCTGACTAAGAGATCAATACATTTTTGCAGCTCTGGTTTATATAGCGGAAAGTGCACACAGTGCAGCTCAACCTACTTTGAGAATTTATTTTGGATCAATTGATAACAAGTGCAGTAATCCTCTGTGAAGTAGCACTGCATTGAAAACAGGTGAAATCACCTCACCCCATTCAGAGATTACTTTCATTTGTTTCATAGACAACAATATCTTTAGACTCACAGAGCGTTCTTATTATCAGAACTTAATGAGATGTGCTGTGCCATGAAAATATGTACACAAGTTCTGAACATGATTCCACAGCCCGGGCCTAGATATAGTCGTTAGAGCCTAAATTTGGCCCCGTACAAGGTGACATTAAGGGCCCTATTTTCAGGAACCAGGCAGCATGGCACAGATTGTAGTCAAATGCACACTTTGATATTCCTGTGGCCAGGCATGGTTGGCATACCTGCAGCCCACTTGGAAACTGGGTAGGATCAGAAAGAATACAATATGAGCGTGTTAGAGGCTGTGACAATAATGGTCTCTACTTTTTATCCCCTTTAAACACAGGACTATCCACGTTCTGATGCAACTGACTCTCCTGTGGAGAGTTTTTGTCTGAGGCAGCATTTGTTGTCTATGTCTATAATTATGAATACGGCAGCACAAATCTGTTGCATTTCAGTAGAATTAACTTCTCGGTTTACTTTGAGCACCTTGAAGTCCGTCGTACGTAGTAGTGCACCGGTTTATTTATAATACAGTCCTCCATAACTACCATTAAATACAGCCATGGTTCTTTATGTACAGTTAAAGTAGAATTAAAAAATTAAAAATGTGGTCTGTTTTTTTATGTTGTATTTATTTTATTTCTGAAATATTTTTTTATGTATGAGTAGACGCAATAAAGTAGATGCATATTTTAAATGAAAAATTTAACCAGAGGCTCTGCCATGTGTAATTGTGGTTTGACAGTGTACAACATCAGTCCTGGTAGAGACTGCAGATGGAACAGATACCTGCTGCCTACAGACAGCTGTAAAGAGAGTCACCACAACAGAGGAAAGGCTTTCAGTATAGTCTACCTACTAACTGGCATGGCTTATAGAGCTGATAAGAGTCATTCATCTCATTCATATTTATGTTTTACAGCCAAACAGAATAACTTTGTTGGCGACATGATCACGTCAGCTTTATGAAAAATGTACAATTAAATCAGGAAGATAAGCAAAACAGGGATGAAGGCATTGAGTGATTTTAGTGAGGTTTATATACTGTATATGTGTGTGTGTTAACCAAAAGAAATACTAGAGAACAAAAATGTGCTGAGAAGCTGAGCTGCTCTGAGCGGGCACGTGGTGCACTCAGTCTTGATACCAAACACGAAAAGTTAAACCAGCGCAGTCGATGTTACAACCTAAATGCACCGCAAGAAAATACCTTCCGACAAAGCTAGCAGTACATGTCAAAATTCAAGCTAGTAAGATGCCGCGTGTAAAACAAGCGGTTTCTTAAGAAGATATCATGCTACGACCACTATTCTGCTGTGAGTCACCATTATCAAAAACTGCTGAGGCAAAATTATTAACAGCATGTTGAAGAAAGTAAGAGGTGCAAACCCTCACCAGTGTTTTTGAAAGACTGTTTGAACCTTTTACAAACCCAAATGAGCTCCTAACTCGCAGCCCCAAGCTCACCCTCATTATGCCCTCAGCTTGCATTAGCTGGTCGGAGCTCCACAACGTTTGCTGGAGGAAGATGATGAAGCAGAACATTTAAATACCAGTTTTACCAACTGAAAAAGAAAAAAAAAAAAAAAAGCAGTTGGAAAAACTGTCTTGATAAATTCCCTACATTCAGGTTGATGTGACAAACTGGTAGCAGTTACAGAGCAACATCATCTTTCATTTGGAGTTGAGTGTCTGGCCACCTGATGAATTTGTCGTCTCTACCAACTCCTAAGGGCAAACATTTGGAGCCTCTAAATGCTGTACTGTGTTTACCAGCCAGTCTCTAACTGTGTCCGTCTGCTGTTTGCTGCTATGAACAAAGAGTAATGTTAGGGACAGACAGCTGTAGTCACCCCCACTTACACTGAACGTTGGTTTTTACATTGTCAGCTGATACATCGTTATGATTGTTATTGTTATTATAACCCCTTAAAAGAAAACAGTGGTTGTTGTAGCTGTTGTAGTTCCCATAGTGGTTTATAAGATAATAAAAAAAAATATGGGGTAAGTAATTAATTTTTTTCAAGATGCAGTTAATAGCATTTGACAGCGTTGGGCTTTTACTGTTTCTACATGTATTCCCTGAATAAGGTCATGTAGGTTTCTGGGAGACGCTCATCCAAAAATCTTTACAGTTGACACTGCACTTAGTCAGGTCCTCAGCAACACAGCCGCCAAGACAGGCAGGCAGGCGGGGAGACAAACAGACTGGCAGACAGACAGACAGACAGGCAGGCAGGCAGGCAGGCAGGCAGGGAGACAGACAGGTAGGCAGGCAGTCAGACAGGAAGACAGACAGGCAGGCAGGCAGGCAGACAGGGAGACAGACAGGCAGGCAGGCAGGCAGGCAGGCAGGCAGGGAGACAGGCAGATTCCTCCAGTTATAATTAGTGGATGTAATCTAATTGTATTGGTATTGTGAAGTAATACGTGTGTGTGTGTTGCTGAGGACCCGAGGATGTGCAGTGTTGACCGTGGATGGATGAACAGTTTTTGAGAAAATCAACAGACATCCCTTCTCTTCTTTCATTTGACGTGAAGAAAAAAAATGAACACTGATGAGATTCATAAATAATGATGCCAATTATAAGCAATTAATTCAGTCTGGATGTGTATGTTTTCTTTGTTGATATTAAATATTGTCTGCCATTCTGAAAAACTGTACAAGAAATTTTATTGTCTCTTTATTTATTTATTTGTTGTTATTTATAATTTTTCATTCAGTTCACTAAAACACTTAACTTTTACTTCTTACAACTCCAGCCATGGCTATACAGACTTCAAAGGGTTACTTCCTTAAAGCTGGGGGAATCGGGAGAGACAAGAACAAAAAAAGAAAGATGTACAGATGCAGCCTGACTATTTGTTTGCCTTTCCAGCCTGTTAATTGTCAATGTCTGTCAAAGTCACATTTTTCTCATTTTCTTTCACAGTACCACCAAAAATCATCAACCTGTCAAGAGATATTGTGGTGAATGAAGGCTCCAATGTCACCCTGATGTGCCAAGCCAGTGGTAAACCAGAGCCTTCTATCAGCTGGAAGCTCATCTCCCCCTCAGGTAACTTGTTTGTCTATAAAGAAGTGAATTACCTACACAGCAGTTTTCTGCTATATTCATAGTCTCCTCTTAAGTGTATCACATTTCCTCTGCTTCCTACTTTATTTTCCTCACTATCCTCCTCTCTGCCTCTCTCTCTTCCTATCACCCCTCTGTGTTTATAGCCCCATCTTTGACTTTGTTTGACCCCTGGTGGATTTTTCGCTTCACTTATTACCCATCATTACCTGTTCCCAGATCATCATTACAACGTAATTGTTCACAGGAAAATAAACTGGCCCCATTGTAATTGAACTAATTAATTAGGATAATTGGATGGATGTAAATGTTGTGGAGGCACTTTGAATGACAGGATTAATGCAGAGAGCACTAACACGGTGTGGAGAATCACGCATAGACAAGCAAATCTTCGGCAAGTACAGTATGTCCAGAATTAGGTTATCGTATGTGCTTTGTGGCTTTTACTCCTTTACTCCTTCCTGAAGACTGAAGGAAACCAAGTGTTGCTTGCTGTTGTCGCTGTTAGTGTACCCCTGTGTGTCCGCGCTTCACTTAATCAGATGCACGCATTGATAATGAACTACATTTAAAAGCCAGAGCTGTTGTGCTTTCATCTGCACTGTCCTTTGTGTTGAAGCGGAGATCTGGCAAATAAAGTGTTCACATAACATGAGTGTGACTGACCTATCTGCAAGGAGGAAAACATTGAAAGGGGAAACCTATTGGCTCCTATTTGAGAAATACTACGTGTTTGTGCTTGCATCACTGTGCAGTCCGTGTAGAGGAGACTGGAGAAGCTATCATCAGTGTTGTTGGACTTCTTAGTTTCCTGTCCGACTCTTTGGGTCAAGGATTCAAATGTTGAAGGACTTGATATCTACAACGGCTGTGATACTAATGAGGTAGTTGTTGTACAAATTGGAGTATCTGCTTGTTGACCTGTCTTGCTGTTCTGTGATTTGGTTTCCCAGGGGGCTTGACTTTGAATTTTATTTTATCTATCAATGCAGTAAAAAAAAAAGTGCCAATTCAGAGTTTGCACAGAGGTGAGATTTTACATACACTACATAATTAAAATATAGTATACACTGTAAATACGGAAATACAATGACAATGACAAGAAAGAAAAGTAATTTAGAGTAGAATAAGGTAAAAATGGCTACAGCTCTGGTTTGCTTTTAGCTACTTTGTTGTGAGAATTTTATATCTCTTATTTGATTTCAGCTGCTTGAGTTGATGGCCCCTTATGAAGGAGACTGATTGTCGAAATTTTGATCTACAATGTGGCATTTTGTTCTTCTTTACCTGTTTATCAAATGTGAGCTGTGATTATTCCCTTTACGTCCTCTATACCATATCCCTGTTTTCTGATGGAGAAACACTTTTTTTTTTTTTTTTTTTTTTTTTTTCAAATTCATTACAAGATGATTATATTGCAGCCAGTGATGGACATCATCCAACTTTTCAGTCATCTCTGCTGCCTTGCCTGGTGACTGAGCTGGTTCATATGACCACGCCATTTGCATAAAGCTGGCAGATGGCCTCTGGGCAACTTATAGGTAGGTCATTTATAAACGGACAGAAAGGAGTGGGCCCAGGATCGAACCCTCTCTTTTTTTGGGCGGGTTTTGCCTTTATTTGGATATGGAAAGTGAGACACAGACAGGAAAGTTGGGGAGAGAGAGAGGGGATGACATGCAGCGAAGGGCCATGGGTCGGACTCGAACCCATGGCCGCTGTGGTAAAAACTGAGCCTAAGTGGTACGCACTCTATTACTTGAGCCACCGGAGCGCCCCCAGGGTTGAACCCTCTCTGTCATCTGTGCAGAAAAACTCAACAGCTCCTGTATGAACAACAGAAACACTGTCTTCCATCCTGATATAGCTTTCGTAAGTCTGGATTCACAGCTTAGTACATAGGTTGAGCATCAATATTTATGTTGCCCATGTTGTTGTACATCGTACATTCTTGGGGTTCAACAAGTTAATAACATTGTCCCTTCTCGATTGAGTGATACACAGTCTACTGACTGTCTACTGAAAACTACGTGTCTGTACAAATTTCATGCGAATCCATCAGATAGTTCATTTAACAGCACTGACTTTATTATAGGGAATGTTACAAACTTACACACCTATCTTTGTAACCATGTCATATGAGTACACTCCACTCAAATACATATAGAGTCCAATACTTATATGGTAATCCCAACAATGTATGGCATCCCTCCTTTGGCTGTTATGGTAGTAACCTATATATAAAAATATTCACACACACACACACATATATATACTGTATATATACATATATTTCTGTCCCAAAAAGAAACATCCTGCACTCAACACCAGCTATTTCTGTTTTGTCATCTCAGCCAGGGATAGACCACTAACCAGTGCTTCTCCCTCTAGACTGTGGATCCTCAGTCGTGGGTTTACAGCACACATAGATGCTGAAGACGCCTGCTCATTGTCCTGTCACATCATGAAAACATTGTAATATTTCATGGCTGATCCATAAAAATGTCCAGGGGAGATGAAGTAGTACAACCTACTTTCTCAAACAGCACTGGTGATGATTTTATATGTGTGCATACATGTGCAATACTAGGGCAAGCCTCAAAAGGAAAGGCTAATTAGTAAGCATGTGTCCTCCAGTGTGTGACAACCCCCCCCCCCAGTCCAAGATGAGTTCAGTGACAACAGTATATCACCAATTCAAATCTGAGTACTCTGCATGCATGACTGCAACTGCCTCTGCTGCTCCCAGTCGATTCTTTGGAGGCTGTAGAGCCAAGAGATCATGTCAGTTGTTACTGTGACCAACAGTTGACTTTTCTGCAGCTCCTTATACTGTGTTTTCTTTTTTTTCTTTTTTCTTTTTTTTCTTACGGACAGTTGCACTGGAGTTGAGCCGGTCTGTTTGACCAAGAATGCAAAAATATGAGGCAGACATGCTTTGACTTAGAGTGATTGCCAGTTCAACAAAGCAACAAATTTGGCAAAGGTGGTAGTCATGCAATTTGAGCCTACGTAAGACTTAGTTATTATATGTAGACATGGTAGACAAAACTGCCAAGTCCAGTTGCTGACAGCTCGTGTGAAAGGGCATCACTGCCTGTGTGACACAAATAACCTCGACTATTGTTGTGCTTTGGTGTAAAGGTGCAATAATTATTGATTCTTACTGTGTGATATAATTTCCGAAGGTTAATTTGACATTCATGTCATGATCACATTCACAGGTCAGCTGTAAAAATAGCTTGATGAGTAGATTAGGAGGTGGAGTGTTTACCAGCAGGAAGTCAGAGGAGTGAGGACCGCTGACTCATTGTAAGGCGTTGATGCAATGTGTCTCTGGAGGATTTGGCTTGCTGTTTCATGTGGGTAAACATAACATTAGTTTATGCATTAGAAACAGTCAGCTCTCAGTGGAGCTTTAATGGCTTACCTTGCACTTTCACTGTCTGCTATCAACCTGTCTGCAACATTATTGCACACAATATGTCATATCCTTTACCTGTCTGTTTGCTTGGCATATGACATCCCTTGTGAAATAAATATTAATCATATTGCAGCTTATGTTGTATGTGATGTCACATTTGATGTAAATACCAAGTGTTTTTCTCTTGACTTTTCTCAGACATGTTGGGTTCAATACAAAGGCTTACGAAGTTTTACAAATTGCTATCAACCACATTTGCTGCTTTTGAACACTAGCTTTCCCAAGGAACTTTGTGTCATTAATTTCTGGCATTATGACCAAATCATAGTGTAGGGCAAAATATGGAGCATACTGAGCAAGCAGCTTGACCTGCACCTGTCCTGCAGGAGGCCGCAATCTGTCAACGACCCCTATAGTTCATGGTGGTTTGCTCAGCTTTTGGAGTGTACGACTCATCCACTCTCTTTGCAGCCCTTGGTTAGCTGGTCCCAGACGCTGTACACTTTGGATAAGCCCCCTGCTAGGGCCTTAATACAGTATGCTCCAACAGAAGTGCTTATCAGATGGTCAAACAGCATCTGAAAGCCCTTCTTCCCACACCTTTCCAATGGGGGACACTTTGTGTGACTTTCAGAAACTAACAAAGCAACATTATCTCCCACTTCAGACATTAATCGGTCAGAGCTATACAGGAGTTTAAGTTCTCTCTGTAAAAACAAGTGAAACATTATGGATGCCTTTTAGGAAAGACTGGTCTGAAAGTGTTCTCTGTTATGCCCATATTTAAACCATGAACACATCACACCCCATTTTCAACAGCCCTTTTCAGCCTGCCTTCAATTGTGGCCATGCAGAACATCTAATAACATGTTATAAGAAGATCATGTTATATTCTCCATCTCTGAAAAAATTCCTTGGACTCAAAAAAAAGATGAAAAGCCTCATGATCAACACCCAATGTTTTGATCATAAATAGGGTAAAAATTTTTCCGGCCTTAGAACTCAACTATCTGGCCATCTTTGGCACTAATACACTTTCTCTCTCTACCACTCCAACACATTTATTTCTCCAGCGTAGTAATGAAGTTGACTGAACTTTGACTGAACTTGGTATTTCTCAGGGACCTAATCATTGATCTGAGGGGTGGGTCACTGATTTCAGGTCAACTGTATCTACTTTCTGTTTCACTGCCTGCAAATTAACAAAGCATTAATCAGAAATTTAACGACTGTGCCAAATGAACAGTGAGAGGAAGGTATGACCAGTTCATACTGTTATCAAAAAAAAAATTGACAACAAAACTGGTTATGCAGTACAACATAATTCACCCATATTGGAATATCGGTTCAATGATGTCATGTCTAGTGACAATCACACATAAATTACTTTAATGACTATATAAAAAGTATAAGAAAGTAAAAGTAATGCCTAATTAGGAAAAGCTGCCTCATTAGCGTTTTCTCCTGAACAGCCAATCAATAGCCTTGTAATTATTTTAATTAGGCAAATAGTGAATTAGACGGAGGAGAGAAAGGTCTGACAGAATTGATTGATTTC